TAATTGGTAAATTTATAATGGTGATTATAACGATTTTGTGACTATATGGGAGGTGACTATATGGAGGTTAGACTGTACTATAATAATAAAATAACTTGGTAAATTTATGTTTACAAATAGAGATTCGAAATTCAGCTTTGCCTTTCTATCAAATATGTAGACCTTAACTATTATTGCAAAATTACATTCCGAACGCCATTAGAAACAATTTTTATGATGGGTTTTTTAAAATCATATTCAGACAATTTAGATTTGGAATTATTGAATTACATTTTGAGCTACGATACATTTGTTTAATAATAATAATAATAATAATATATATATATTGAAAAATCAGGTGGATTATCATTTTTTTAAAAAAATCAGTACCTTAACTTTCACAGCTAATGCCTCGTTGAATTTCGAAGCTATTGTTATCATTTAATTGATTAAAAAAAGCTCAGATCTTCAGCTTTCCTTTACCTATTAACTGATAATAATAGCTTTGAAATTTAGCGAAATATTAGCTGTGAAAGATAAGGCATTAATTTTTATTTTTTTTTAAAATGTTAATCTCCTGATTTCTATTGATGATAGCCTATATTTAAAGAATTTTAAATTATTTACAATTTACAAGTTGCATCGAATTTTGTTTTTGAATTGATAACTGGTTATATATATAATTTCTAAGGTATCTTATATTAAATTCAATACTTTCAATACTACTGTTTTCAAAGTATTGATTCCATTCGTTGACTAATGATGGATTGATTGAGTTCAATTTTTCTAAAAGTCTTTTTATCTCTATATTTGCCAAAATTTTTCTTTCTTTTAAAGTTTGATTCCTTATGATACAGTTTGAAAGTCCTGAGTTTACTCGATCAATTGTTTTTGCGACTTTATCTTTTTTGATTCGTTCATTTTCTTGATTTAGGAGCAAATATTCATGTCCAATTGTTTGTTGGTTACAATTTTGTTTAAGGAGTAATTGTTCAATTTTTTGTTGAAGGTCTAAATTTTCTTTTCTGCTTTGTTTAATTGTTTGATTTTTTTTGTTTATAATTTTCTTGAGTCGTGCATTTTCTTCTTTCAATTTATCATTCTGCTGAATCTTAATGTTGATTGTTTTCTTCGGTCTATTTTTTGATTTATTTGACTCTTCATCGTTGTCCACTTTAATAACCAACATTGAATCATCATTATCAGCAGCATTGCTTTCTTCAGCATTAGAGGCATTATAAAAATTAAAAAAAATAAGAGCAAAAGGAGCAAAATATGAAAAATATAAATAAAAGCTTTGAGGATAAAAATAGTGAAAAAGATATCCATTTTGTAAATTAGATTCCCGGTAATGTTTTTATCATAATTTAAATACTTCCAACTTCTGCACAGCTCTCTTAATGCATAAATAATCTTAAATTCTAAAAAGAATTTAAGAGCTGATCCAAAACATTTTTACAGCTCGAGACCTAATTTTTCGCAAATGTGCATTATCGCGCAACATTTTGAGGCTTAGCACGTATATTAGAACGCGCTTTGTTCTTTATATTTTTTACTGTATTACCAAATTTGATCTTCCTTCTTAAATAATTCTTTTTAAAAAAAAATTGATATTATCTCAATACTTGGCTTAGCACGCATATTAGAACGCTTGGTTCAGATGTTCTATATAGAGTTTTGAATTTTTAATTTTGTTCGTATGCATAAATAAATAATACCATATCAAAATTTAATTGAGAACTTTTTTTGATTCAAAAATTTTTTACAACAGATTTTTGCAAATGTGCATTATCGTGCAGCGTTTTGAGGCTTAGCACGCGTCTTACCCAATCCTAATTAAGCACTAATTGAGTTTACAAATTTAACTTTAATTGTACAAATAAATTAAAATTCAGAACCGAATTTATTTTAACATAATAAATTCGGCATGAAATATAAGAATTATTAGATTTAATTCAATATACATGTTGTTAATAATTCATAATTATTAGTATATTATAACTGGACACACAATGCTACAATCAGTTGATATCAATATATCATATTTTAATATATACCCCGCGATTATATAAACCGGTTTTTTTTATAATCGAAGATATAAAAAGTTCATTATCATACCTAAAACAAATTTGTCTGAATACAAATCGGTTTTGTAATTTTTTCGTTTTTCTTTTAGAAATAACTTTGCATTTTCAGGTAATTTAGCAAGAGAATCATGATACAAGATTTGAAACTTCTTGGTAGATATTTATCAAGATACTTGTTTTTAAAGATTGAGTATCATAAATTGTTTATAAAAATCATATGATGATCATATGATATAAACCAATTAAAACTAACGATTTTGTGTAAAACCGTGAATTTGAACTGACTATGGCCAGAATTAATACCAAGTCAGAATTATAATTTCTATTTATTTTAACTCTGGCTGGAACCAATACTCCTAGCTCCAGCCAAATTAACCTATTAATTCCATTCGAAATCATAATTCTTATTTATTTTAATTCTGGCTGAAATTAATGCTCATAATTCTGGCTAGAATTAATCTCTTAACTCCTGCCGGATCAATACTCCTAACTTCAGCAACATCCATAAAATCACCAATCTAAAAATTTTCGCTAGCCAATCAAATTTCGAGACCAGGTGTAATGTGAAAAATGTTCAAGAAACAAAAAAAAAATCAATAATCGCCTGTAACTCGAAATCTTTGCTATAAAACTTCCTTCTGCTTACTAATTACTGAATTAAAAGTATATATAACCCTAACCCTAATCTAATAGCAAAAGATTTTTTCTTAGTGAAATTGTTTTTTCCTGAGATCACATAATGTGCGAAATTTTTTTGACTGGTAATACTAGTCTCTTAAACTCCAGCCAGCCAAATAAATCTATCAGCTTAATTTCAATCGAAATCATAATTCTTATTTATTTTAGTTCTGGCTGGAATTAATGCGGTTTCAGTGATTTGTCCTATTGTTTAAACAATACAAACCAAGTTGAAACCGCATAATCTGAGCACTTTAGCTTAAAACAATAAATAAAATAGCAATTCTCATTTGTACTAATCAATACTAGTCACGTATAATTTAATAATACAGCAATAACAAAGTTTAATTTTAATATATTTATTTCGTATTTTGAAATAATGTAATTGTTGTAATTTGATGAATTTGATAAATTTGATAAATTTGATAAATATTATATATGTAGTTACCTAATTTGATGTAATTTTAACCAACATTTTTGACTAATATATATTAAAATCAGTTTTCTTATGTGAAAAACCCCAAACATAATAACACTAGTATACTGATGATAAAATAATTTAGTTGGCCAATCTACCAACACTAGGAAATAGCATGAAGACCTTTGTTGAGAAGCATAACTCTGTCTAATTCTTGCCTAACAGTTGATTGACTTGCTGGTTTTTCAACCCAACCATTCATACCTGCTTTAAAATACTGGTCTTTCCAAGGATTTGTAATATAAGCTATTATTGGTATTTGTTGATTGTTTTTAAGCACTTTAGAACCTGTGGAATGTATAGCTAAGGTTGTTTCTATGCCGAAAAGTTCTGGAATGTCTATATCCATAAATATTATATTAAAAGTTTCTAGTGATAATTTATTAAGAGCTTCTTTGCCGCTCGCAGTGCAAGAAGTAAGATGACCAAATTCTTTAGTAAGAATCTTTAAAAGCATTTTAACTGTTATATTGTTGTCGTCAATGATTAAAGCTTTTACCAAAGGTGATATTGACAGAGCTCTGCAGTTATTGACAATATTGGAAACACCAGTTGTTGGTGAAGCTACTAGAAGAAGAAGTGGCTTGCTAAGCTTTAGTTCATCAATACCAAAAAAAAACAAAAAAATAGAAATAATCAGTTCGATCATTAGTCAGATGATAATATTTGTGTCTTGCTAGTAAATGACCAATTGGATTTAAAACCCTCTATTGCTGATAGAATTTGGATTTGAACTAAAATTGGCTTTGTGTGTTTCGTTTTGTAAACAATAAATAAACTTTATTACATGAAATAAAATAAACCAAATATATATATCAATTGAGTTAAATGATTTACAGGTTTTTCTTTTTCGTCACTCAATTGATAAAAGATTATACTTTGTACAAAAAAAGCCTTATCTAAATTTTAAAATACTAAATAGAAACGGTTTCTAACAGAAATAGTCTTTCACTTATTTATCTTTTAACAAAGGGTCCATTATACCAAAATCTTGGTCATGTCTTCTGTTATTTGATATTATATATATATGTTGTATAAATAATTAAATAGACTTTTTTTAATTCGTTACAAATATATAATCTGCTGTACAGAAGCAAGTATACTAGATTGGTATATGAAATAGTACTTGAACCCGCAAGTGATTCTTTGTATCTGTTTATCATGGGTACAAAGAGTCACTCGCGGGTTCAAGTGAAGGAAGTTAGAATAATTGAGTTATGTCAAACAAAAATAATATTTCAGATGAAGCTAGTCAATCTTTACAAGTATGAAAGTCTTTAATATAAGCTTCGATATGTCTATTATTAAGAAAATGAAATAAACAATATGCAAATTTGTATATAGCAGCATCATTATATATATATAAATATTATACCAGAAAAATACTGATAATTATTTATATAATTATTTATACAGCATATATACTGTATGGGCGAATATGCCACTTTACCCTCCCAACCTCCCGACCTCCCAATCTCCCGACCGTTGAAGTTACTTCGCATAGTATCATAATTTGTCTTCACATTATTAGATGAATAGAATGATAGATACTAAACTGTTATACAGCATTATCAGAATAACGGACAAAGCAACGCAATTTCATTCATAAGTTCTTACCTAGCGAACGTTTTAAATGCCCTTTTGAATGTCATGATTAAAAAGTATTTTTATAGCATTAGTAGATTTAAATAAAAAAGCATGAGGCTTTTTAATATCGATACTTAACTGACCGATCACGTAACTTATTTCAGCATCCATTGATGCTAAAATACTATGACGTGTATTTAATCTGGTATTGAATATGTAACAGTTCACATATCTAATGAATTGTCTTATAAATTCTGCGAAAGTCTGAAATAAAAGAAAAAGAAAGCTGCACA